CGCACACTGGAGTAATGGCGTCTACTGATCCCCCATCCCCCCACTTTCATTCGATAGCCACCTCACTTTCATTTTCACTGCCTCAGGGAAGAGGAAGTGGGATCAGAGTAGCCCCTACTCCCACTCATTCCAGTGATTGAGGAGTTGGATTGATCTCAGCTACACCTGTTCATCAGATTGAATCAAGAGGCACTGCTTGGGCTGGGTGACAGTGGAGCCCAACTAGCGGGGGGAGAGGGGGGTAGTAGAAAGAGGAGTGAACTTGCCCCATACCAGAAGGGGCACATTGCAGGGGTGCCTAGTAGTAAGTTGGGCCCTGCATGACTCAGCCAAGCCCCAAGATCGAAGACCCATGGTCAGTCCGTTCCCCACCTCCACCCACACTGCTGCTGCGAAGAGCAGGCTTCTGGTTAAAGGTGCCTTAGTTTTCAGACCTTCTTGGCTGCTTTTTCAGACATTTCATCAAGTTTCCAAATTGGCCATGGACTTTGGTGCCTCTGTCCCGCTCTCGAGGCACCTTGGGGGCTGGGTCTTTCAGAAGTGCTAAGTGGCCCCCCAATTCCAATTAATGTTGAGGGGAGAGGCAGGTGCCCAGCACCTTTGAGGAGCCAGGCCCATGGGAGCTCAAGCTGGAGAGACACCAAATGGAGGCATTCAAAAATTCAGCTGCTCTAGTGCTGAACACTTTTTTTAAAATCCAAAATCCCAATTTTTACTATTTGGATCAAGGGCTGTAGGAAGTTTTGTTTAGTGTTGACTTTATAACAGTGCTTCCTAAGAACAGCTTGACTTGAGAGCCTAGATGGACTGTTAGCAAATTACAAACAGAAAAAAAAAAAGTACACTGAAGGTGTTACACTTACGCGCCAGCTGTAGTTTTATTGTAACAGAGAGAACAGGCTGCATAAAGGCCTAAATGACTAGACAATGGCAGATGGCTTGTCTAGAAAGGTGAAGACCAGAGCTGAAAGCACACAGCAGCTTAGAACCACAGCACAAAACAGTCATTCCCTAACCCGATGCACCCTGAGAATCAGAGAGAAGCGAAGGCTTTGGGCAGGTGGCTTCAGTAACTTCCATGCAGGAGGATGTGTACACATCACCACTGCCATTAAAGTGCAATCGACTTCTCTTTCCTTGAGCCAGGCTAGAATCCTCCTTTACTTCTTGGTATAGCGGTGGCAGCTTAGGGTAGACTAGGCTAGTCTCAGTTGCTCAGGATGGAACAGTGATAGGAAGGAACTACAGAAGTGACAACTGCCTATCGATCAGCAAAAAGCCCTCTAGGGACTAAAATAGGAAAGATGCCCACAGACAGTTCTAAGAGAGATGGAGCCACTTAGTCTGGGAGTGAGTGAGAAGAAAAGAACACACATGGGGATCAGAGGTGGCAGCAGTACCTTGCATGGGTCTACCTCATGTATGTTCATGTTCAGGCCTCTGCCTTCAGCAATGGAGAACTCCATGCTGCCAGCTACTACGGAAACACTTCACTGGTGTGTTTGCTTTAAGGCCTGTGGATCTCTTACAACCAATTTCCATTCAAACTGTTCCAGTTAGTTTTTAAATAAGTGAATGGGAGTTTTAGCCATGTAACTCTCTCAAATCAATGGGAAGCCAGGGGCTTTAAACACAGCTCAAGAGATTTGAATGCAAGGCTGAAAATGCAGCCTCTACCTCTAAAATTGGGACGGGGGGGGGAGGGGGAGGAAAAGAAAGAGAATGATGGAAACCCAGATGATTGATTATAAGATGACATACACTGTGGAAGAAGAGACAAAATGGGGAGGGGCTCAACCTTAAGCGTTGGCTTCAGCTGACAAACACTGGAAAGCCGGAAGGGATCCATATGGGTTTGGTTGCGTGCCGGAGAGTCTATTCAGGATTAAATATCGAAGTACAGCAGAGTCGCATCATAGGCGCATTTAACTTACACAATTTTAACTATACACGCTCAGCCAAACAAAAAAGAGAAAAATAATTTAAATGCCCTACCTGTAGTGCGGGCGATTCCGCCCACCATTCCACTCAATGAGCGTTTGACAATACACTATTTTCGCCTTACGCGCGGACTTCAGAACCTAACCCCCGCGTAAGATGCGACTCCCCTATAGTCCACTTCCACTCTGAAGAGTGACTGTGGAAGAAGAGACATCATGGGGTTCCATGTTTATTGATCATTTGCCAAGAGACAACTCTGAGTTTACAAGGAGAGAGGTGGTTTTGTTTTTGTTTTTAAATGAGCAGGCCTTCAGACTGGGATCTTTCCTTCCTGCATACGACCATGAGTGCTGACAGTTCTGGTAAGTATACCCTCCTGATGCCTGGGCACAACCTCCTTGCTTTCAGGAGGTTACAGAGATATAACTAAGTTTCAAAGCCAGGGCCAATTAGGTCTGTTGCTGCACAAGGAATTGAAGCCAGCTGGAGAGAGAGCAGGAATTTAAGATACTTAACAGCTAAGGCGGATTGTCACTCTAGTAGCAGGGACAGGAGAGTACACACCACGCTCAGGTCAGGTGAAAGAATGGGCCAATTTTCAGAGCAGAATCTTAGAGTGGGAAGAATCACTCTACTTCTGTGTGAATGGCAGGCGGGGAGGCATGGGAGGGAGAGAATGAAGCAAGCCATGTTTCCAAACAAGATTAAAGTGAGAAATGACAGCCCCAGAGAGACACTGATCTATCTTACACGCACTAAGAGAACCACTAGTTTTTCTGAACAGAGATGAGATTCCTGATTAGAAAGAATTGTACAGGCTTTGATATCAGGAGTTCCCTAAAGCTTTTCAGTTTTACTTGTTCAGAAGCAAGTTCAGACCCTCTGTGTCCTTTCTACAATTGTTAAAGACAAAACCAACCCTAAAAGCGGCATTCAGAGGCTTAGATTGCAACTGTGTAATAAATATCCCTCATGCATGTGCTCTCTGAAAAGTGCTCTCTCCTTGCGTGCTTCTACTGCTGTAAAGGTGGTAGAGGCCACCATCTGTAGCATTCTGACAGGTAAGGAAGAAGCAATGGTAAAATACATTGGTGATGCAAGTCCACACAGCAGAGGGTTATTTGGGATCTCAAGCTGGTTTTCCAGGTCATTTGATCAAAAGCTGTTTTTCAAGCAAGACCTGCACGCCACGTTCACTCCCCCTACACCTACCAGTAGGGAGGAGTAGCATGGGCAGTGGGTATAATAGGCCAGGGGAGGCTCAACCTCCCCTAGTACAGCTGCTGCCGTCAGACCCTTGTTGCAGGTTTCGTGGTGGAAATTTGTGCTTATTATTATGCGCCATGCAGGTTCCAGGGCAGCAGAGGAGATGTATGTGCTACTCAGCTTCCTGGGTTCCTTAGTAATCTCCCTGGACTCCAAGGAGAGTCCTGATGAACCTGGGAATCTGAATAACACATACTGCCTCCTCAGTGGCCCCACAGGCCGCATGGCGCATATCACAAGCTCAGGTTCTCCTTCCAGAAGGGAAGAGAAGGGCTTTTGAATTTTCCTGGGGGGTGGCTTGGACTCTGCGGAGGGGAGGTGCAGCTGCGATGGCTCAGGTGTAAGGGCACAAACTGCACTATACCTGTCAGCCCGGGGCTCCTCCAAGCAGGTCGGGTGGGGGGCTCAGGGCTCTGGCCATGGAGGGGGGAGCGGAAGGGGTGGAACCAGGGACTAGCCTCCCTGAACTGGGGCTCCCCCCACCACCCATGAGGAGCAGACTCCCAAAACCTTCATTTACATACAGTGTTTTCAGCTTCAGTGGCCCTCCTCGAATGAGGTGAGTAAAGCAAGCGGACATGCTGTACAACTTGACAGAGCTGTACTGGCTCCCCCAACTCCAGCTGTTGCTCTACCCCCACCAGTGTATAAGGGCAGGTTTCCCTGTTGACATGAATACAATGATGTGTTACTTGATCTCCTTTCAGAGTGGGAGGACGGGGTCTTGATCCTGTTCCAGCTCATTTAAAAACAGTAACTGAACTATGTTACGAAGCCGTCTCCCCTCCCACGTAAGGGATGGGCACAGAGACACCACTCAGCGCCCAGTGCTCTTGGTCAGCGTTCTATCATTCTACATGCAGTAGTTCTGCCAAGACGTTTAAAGCCTGACGGGTGCCTGTGTCGGGGAGAGGGTGCATAACGCGAGACGCTGCTTCTGAAGAGAGGAGCAGGAAGCAGTGACATCCCTGTCGGAGAGGGCAGGTGGCTTTGGCTACGATGTGTTGATGCCGCTAGCTGCGGCCTTGTACACGAAATACATTAAACGACAGAGTCAAGTGCTGTGGTTGAAAGTAAATATTCTGCTTGCCCCAACCCCGCAAATGCACTTCCCCTTCCTCTTGATTCAGAAAGTCCAAAGACCGTTGAAGGGAAGGCCGTCTGCTCCACCGTGTTTACTTGCTGACTTGGTGTATTGCATGAGCTAGGTAACCCACGTTGCCAGATGTGACCCCTGCCACGGAGATCCGGCCATCTTTTGTCATGTATATGGAGAACTCTTTGGTTAGTTGCTCCACCTGAGGGGGAAAAAGAACAAAACAAAAAACTTCACCTGACTGAAGGGCTGCTCTGGCAGCTTGCCAGGGCCTCAAGTCACAACCAGCTTGCCTAAAATGAAGGTGTAGCCCACGGAGACTGAATCCCAGCATGCAGTGCTCCATCCTGATTCTAGCAGTAGATAGGTAGAGACTCAGCAGTGCATGCTGGGAATTGTAGTTTATATGAGAGAAGGTGGCTTCCCCATCTCATATCACAGATCTCGGAGCTGCAATTGGCCTGCAGACTGCTCTTTGGCCAGCCCTGAAGCCCACTCACTAGCACTGTGGCACATAAAAGCACTAAAATGCTCAGCCAAAACAGTCACATGACTTCAGCAGCACTTGAATGCCATCGTTTAAAGAGCAACACAATTGTTCCATTTTGCAGCTGAGAGGGGAGCCAGAGCACAGCTCCAAAGCCCTGCTCCTGCTCCAGGCAAAACCTGCAGCTCCACTGCTCCGCGCTCCAGCTCTGGGCTCCACTCCAAAGCCCTGGCTGAGAGAGCTCGTTTAGCTTTTAATCACTACTACTGAAGGGTGTCATGCGAGCACTAGAACATTGTGACTAGAGAATAGAGACTTTGGGGAAGAACAGGGAAGAAGGACAGTCCTCTTCATGAGGACCTCTCATGTCAGTAAGGTATGTTTTAGCCCATCCAAGGTTTCCGTATGCCAAAGAAAATGGCAAAGACTCTTAAAAATGAACACTGAAGATCAAGAGACAGCAAGGAGTTTGAGAAATGTTAATAGGCTAACAGTGCCTGAAAAGTTAGCGTCTCCTGACTGATCTGCCAGTCTCTAAGGGCACGTCTACACTTAAAATGCTGCACTGGTACAGCTGTGCCGCTGTAGTGCTTTAAAGACGACACTCTATGCTGATGGGAGAACGCTCTCCTGTCAGCGTAGTTAATCCACCTCCTCGAGAGGCAGTAGCTGGGTCAGAGGGACAAGCTGTCTGCACAGGGGGTTAGGCTGGTATAAACTAGAGCCCTGAGCAGCTATAAAATTTATACCTGCAACTGATCTGCAAACATGGTCCGCAGATATGCAGAGTTGCAGGGCTCTAGGTACAACTACGTCGCTCAGCAACATGGATTTTTCACACCCTGAGTGATGTAGTTAGGTCTGGTCTGGTATAAGTCCAAGATACTCACTCACACATCCTTTGCTCCTCATCAGCAGGATTGAGAGCGTTTTCCAAATTTCTAACAGGAAGCTGAACCCTGAACTCAGGATCTGGCAGACAGCTCAATTGAAAACCATGTTTGTAAACTATTTAAGTTATCAATAGTCTAGCATTCTGGACCACGGGCATGCACAGATAGATGTGCTCGCCTACTCTGTGGGCACCTTTACATCTCCATGTTTATATTCCAGCAGTGACTTAGTTTCACTTTCATTTTTAATCATTGTAGTTCAGCAGTTCTCAAACTTTTGTACTGGTGACCCCTTTCACATAGCAAGCCTCTGAGGGTGACCCCCCTTAGAAATTAAACACACTAATATATTTAATACCATTATAAATGCTAGAGGCAAAGCGGGGTTTGGGGTGGAGGCTGACAGCTCGCAACCCCCCCCATGTAATAACCTCACGACCCTCTAGTCTAAAGGGTCCCGACCCCCAGTTTGCGATCCCTGCTGCAGCTGTTTTTTAGCTAGTCGCATTAGACAACAGAGCCCTGCTCCGAGAACATGGCAAGGGGGAGCTTCCTGAGCTTAGGGATGGCCTCTGTTTACTAGGCCCTGCCACAGCACAGGGGGGTTGGACTCGATGACTTTGAGGGCCCTTCCAGCCACACATTCCTAGGATTCTATGGTTTTGCCTCACACCTCTGCATCTCATGTGAGATCTCGTGTTACTGGAACAGGTGGCTCAGCATGGTACCTTTATGACAGTAGGCTAGTCTGAAGGGATAGACGATAGTTGCAAAAAGGGGTATCCTAGATAGCTAGGAGGCTAAGACTGATGTTGAGTGCACACAAGATTCTCTGTCTGCACAAGAGAGGAGGAAGCTTTTTTGTAAGGAATGAAGTTCCTCAGCTCCACCAGAGTCTTAACTGGCTTCAAATTCATGAGTTCCCATTTGGAAATACAGCCATGAGTGACATGGGCTTAAACTGCAGCAAGGGTGGTTTAGGTTGGACATTAGGAAAAACTTCCTGTCAGGGTGGTTAAGCACTGGAATAAACTGCCCAGGGAGGTTGTGGAATCTCCATCATTGGAGATTTTTAAGAGCAGGTTAGACAAACACCTGTCAGGGATGGTCTTGATAAAACTCAGTCCTTCCTTGAGTGCAGAGGACTGGACTAGATGACCTCTCGAGGTCCCTTCCAGTCCTACCATTCTAAGATAATTCTATGTTTTCCCTGGTGCAGCCACTAGCAACCCAGAAGGGACCATCTTCTTTTTCAATGAGAGAACAAGCTGCTCTTTCAAGACAATGCACTGAGCAGACCAGCATGGAGCCAGCAGGAGTCACACACACAAAGCAATCCAACAGGACTGGAATTTCTCCTGCGAACTGCCTTAGGGCAACCTGCTTAGGTCCCACTGGGATTCCTCCAAGGAGTCAGGTACATCTCATCAGTTTAATTTAAACACTGACCTCAGACATATTTAGAAAGAAAAAGCCAATGCTAAAGTGGGAGATTATTTCGTCATCAGCTCCCCACCTTCCCAAGAACAGCATGTGTTACATGAGCCCAGCCTGATGGGCGCTGCCATGGATATCCATGTGCTTCCTGTTCCCCCCAGTCCAGGGGAATTGTTTTTCAGGCAGATTGGGGAGAATCGCACTCACCTGCTCAGGTTTCAGCCCCGTGTAACAGAACATGCCGATCTGGTCGGTGATGTGTTGCCAGTTGTGGGAGGAGCCTTCTTTCTTGAGGTTGGCCACCAGCTGGTTGCGCATGTCAATGATCCGGTCAGCCATCCCCTTCACCTCTTCCAGCCTGCAGGAGGAGCAACAGAAAGGAGATGCCTGGACATCAGATTCAGACATCGGTGAGGCAGGACAACAACTGAGACTAGCATGCAGTCGACTACCCACGGAAACACCTCTAAAGCTTCCCTCTTCGCAATTCACACTGGGCACTAACCTGCAATGCCAAAGTGAAGTTACGCACTGCTGCTTTCAACTGGCCGCACACACATTCAGTGGAGAGTGCTACAGGCAAAAGATCACTTTGGTGGTTTCAGTTAAAGAGGCAGAGCAAGCCTAGTGTTTCAGTTCCATGTGGGAAGCTGAGTCCACGCTGCTTTAGGAGCTGCCTCTCTCCTGTGATCAGAAGAGGGGGGCTCTTTACTGACCCAGATTATGCAGTGGGTGCGATATGGACTCCAGTTCAGAGGGGACCAGGGTGAGATCACCATACTCACAGGATTCCCCATTGCAGAGGGTTGATTGTTAAGCACACTCGAGCCATGGACTTTAAATATCAAGGGGCTCATCATGAACAGAAATATTTCTGATGCCATCCAGGACAATGTTCAATTCTATAGACCTTACTGCTCATGGGGGGGACGGACGGGACCACAACACCTTTACAGGTGAATTCCAGTTCTCCAAATTCCATTTATACGAGAATCCTAATTATCCAAATCAACAGTGTCACCTCCATGCAGCCCTATGCCAATTAATCACCTGCTGATTAACAAACATTAAGGCTGCGGGAACCACGATTTGGAAGGATTTCCAGATAAACGGAAGCATGGGTATGGTCAATTACCTCCCCTGAGGCTGTCGTGCTGGGAAGCAGTGATGCTGGTTTCCAAGGGTGAAGGAAAGCAGAGAGGGAGGGGGCATAGCAACAGGGGTCTGGAACCTCCGCGGTGTGCTCTAGCACTTCCTGGCTAGGACAGCCTTGGGGTAGGTACTCAGCTGTACCCCTCACTATTTGTACTGCACTTGTGGAGCCTGGGGATGTTAGTGCTGGAGCAACACCAAGGAGGCTCCAGTCTCCTGCAGCTGTTCTCTTTCTCCTTCCTTCCCCCCTTCTCTCTCCTCCACCCCCGGAGGCCGCCATCACTGCTCCCTGGTACTGACAGCCAGACCTCACAGTTCCATTATCCCAACATTCTGGGTGTTCCCCAGGCAATTCTGATAAACGCAATTCTACTGTATTTGGAGGGTGACACCCACTACTCCCCAAAAGCAACCCATCCAGGATACGGCTCTGCTGGGGCTTGGATCTGTGCATGTCTGTTCCAGGCATAGGCACCATGCTAAAGACATGTCTGCCAAAAGGAGGCAGCTATCAGAGTTCCCAGTGCGGTGAGGGCTAGAGGACACAGCCTTCCCCTTTTGTTCTACCAAGTCAGCTGCCTGCAAGGACCCTGAACTCTAGCAACAGATCGATAGGACTAGGAAAGCAGTGCATGGTTACCTCAGAACATGGGAGCAGGAGGTTACCTTCCTCAGCTGTACTCAGAGGGGAGCAGAGCTTAAAAACAAACACCATTTCATTTCCCCATGGAAGATGTATTAAAAAGTCCCGCAATGCATTAGTCAGACCCTTTAGTGCCCTAGCATTGAGCTGCTAGGCACAGACTGTAGCCTTCAGACTGAGAAACCTGAACAGTTCCATTTACAGATGAATTCTGTCCAGTTAAAATGAAAGTGACGGAAAACTGCACATTCCAGTCTGAATTTCCACCAGATGATGCCATGCATGCTGGGATTTGGTTACCCAAGAGGAACATGAAGATCTGATAGGCCACCTGTTCAAACAGCCCTGCTAGGTTCTACATTTGGAGCAGCAGAAAGTCAGCATAGTCACAGGAAGGGGAGTATCCTGTATTTAAAGGGACTCCCCTCCTGGAAGAGCTGGGCTATACACTGGCATCTTCCCTGCAGCTCTAGGTAAAGGGGTGTAAGTGGCTTTTCTGTCTCTTGCTCGCTAGAAGCTTGGTGCCAGAGCTCCATGGCACTGTTACTGCAACAGAGGAGACCCACGTAGGGAAGCACCTTGACCAGCGTATTTGCCTAGGAGTCCTGAGGGGCAGTGTTCAGTCGGAGTTACATTTCTCTTTGACGACAGTCACCGAGCAGGGGGAGTGGGGAGAAGACTGTGCCCTGTTTAGAAGCTTCCCTTAAGGGAAAGCCTCTTGAATTTCCCCCTTCTTTGGCTGATGACGCCCCATTGTGGCTGGGGGATAGGTCACCCTAAGGTACCCTCCACTGAGGTTTCATTCCTTTGTGCTCTCTAGCTACAATGGAGAAGCTTGTTTAGCCTTTGTCCTGCATCATTCCTATGCAGCACCTTTCCCATCACGAGCAGACTAGAAGCAAACCGGCTTCTGAAGGGGAGCTGCCTTACCATTCCTTCCGCAGGTCAGGACTCGTCAGGATGGTGGAGGCAATACGAGCTCCCTTGATGGGGGGGTTTGAATACATGGGGCGGATCAGGATCTTCAGCTGGGATTCCACCCTCTTGGCCTCATCCACATCCTTGCAGATCACTGAGAAGGCACCCACGCGCTCCCCTGAAACACAATCCAAGTCAGATCATACCTGTCCTACCACAACAGACAACGTATGTGGTAGGCAATGTTCCCTCTAATTTTTGACAGGCCTTGTGTGCAAAAAATGTCTTCTGTGCAAATTGTTGTGCTTCTGTGCAAATGTTTGTACGCGCGGTGTTTCGCCGTGTGCGCAGGGTTTAGGATCTGTGTGTGCACGCACAGCTTAGAGGGAACAGTGGTTGTAGGCCTCCAGCATTTGGACTAGATCTGCCCTGGGACACCACAGCAGTCCCCATTTGCAGAGGGGACATCACAGGTAGAGTAGCATGAGCTTCCCCAGTACCCCAGATCTCCCTTCTGTGCCAAAGGGGAGTGCCTCTAGGAGGAGAAAGGACGTGGATCTGGTGGGCATCCACCAGAAGGTAGGGATTTTTGGTCACTAATGGTCCAGGTGGCTTTCACACTGGCAACCTGGAAGTGAAAGGCTCCATATCTCATCATTAGCCCTCTGAGCCATCTTCCTTTCCCACTGCTTACCGTAAAGGCCCATGTTCTTGGCATAGGACTGAGACAGAACAACATTAATGCCTTGCTCAATAAAATGACGCACAGCCCAGGAGTCCCGGTTTATGTCCCCGCTGGCAAAGCCCTGGTACGCCATGTCAAAGAATGCAAAGAGATTCCTTTTCTGCAAGGAAAAAACAAAAAGATTCAATCACTCACCCTTCTAATGGCTGAATGTCCAGGGGCTCACGAGCCGTAGGAATTAGTTACTAGAGATTCAAGCAGGGCCTCCCCCATGTGTTACTGCACCAGCTGTGGGCCATTTCCACAACCACCAGGGCTCCTGGCTACTGAAAGGCAGCATGAAGTGGCACGCATAATCACACATTATGTAGCACATAGCAGTCCATTTCATTTGCATTCCAGGCTAATCTTTGAGCTAAATACTTTGAGAACTGTGTGTCTGAAGGGAAGATGCTAACCCCAGAATATGTGACAGCTTGTCAGGGTGGCTGGCATCCTCCTATTCCCCCATCACTTCCTCTGTCCAATGGCCAAGATTGCACAAACATTTAGCAGGGTTCAGTTTTTTAGTCTTCTGTCCCCTTCCGTGACAAACATATTAATGCCCTAATGCTTTAACACAACTTTAAAATAAGCCAACATCACTAGGTTCCCTTCTCCAATTCAGGAACCAATCACTTAGTAGCAGAGCAGTCACACCCTAAGCAAATCCTTATTGAAGTATCCTGCAGGAGTCTCTGGCCCTGGTTTACTAGAAACTATTTCCGGTGCCATCAAGCCACAGACATGTGCCATAGGCCTTAATATAAAAGGTATTTTTGGGGAGAGGCGCAGACAGACATCCTTCCTTGGCAGATGGTCTCTGAAGTCTCAGATCTACATATTTCCTGTTGTCGGCCACAAAAGATTAGCCTCCTAATTTGAACCCCAAGGCAAGACTTGAGTTTCAGCCTTCATTTTACTAGCCAATGTGCTGGACAAGATTCCCTTCAGGAATAGGAAAACCTACTTCAACAGCTCAAGAGATTGCCCTTTGAGACAGTCATTCTCCATCGAGGAACTTAAAGTGACACTCTATTCATCAACTCTGCTGTGTGTATTCAAACTCATCTCTGCTTGGTATAGTGACTGTCAGATTCTATTGCTTTATACTCCTGCTAGGTCTACAGGAGGCAGTACAGCTAAGGAAGGAACTGGGTTTGATCCTTTCTTGGTCATTATCAGCAGAATTGATTACTAAGTTCCAATCAAACATCTGCAGACACAATGGGGCTGCAGAGATGTTACTGAACATCATCATTTGGCATGCAAAATATGCATTACAGATTACATGCAATAAGAAAGAATCCAGCTTGAGTCTCAGGGCTAAAGCTGGTCAGTAATTTTCCATCCAAATGATTTTCCTGAGGGAAACTGCAGTTTCTGTAAAAATCAGAATTTCCATTGGAAAATTTCAGTTTTGCCAAAATTTGCTTTCCACTAGGAAAATCTAAATGAAATATTTCATGTTGGCTTGAATCAAATTGGAATATTTCATTTTATTGAACTAACCCAAAATATTTCAGGTGAATTCAACAGAACATTAAAGTGCATTTTCTTATGGAAGTTGTAATCCTCCAGGGAGTTCAGCCCACAGCAGAGAATGGGGACCCAAACCTGAACTCCCATAATGTGTGTTACATCATGGGAATCACATGACTCTAGGTGCACCATGGGAGATGTACTCCAGCCGGGGAGCCTGGCCCATCGGGAGCCTGATAATTCTCCCCTAACTACAACTCCCATGAGGCAATAAACTACATTTTCCTACTGCGGTGTAACTGACTTGAAATGAAGAATTTTGGCTCACTTTGACAAACCAAAATGAAGTATTTGTTTCGTCATTCCCCAAATCTTCTGAGTTGACACTTTGGGCATTTCCAAATTAAAATGTTTTGGACTTGCTGTTCTGTGAAAAAATTCAATTTTTCATCCCAATTTGGACAAATATTGAAATGTTTTAATTTCCTGTGGGATGAAAATCCTGAATTTTGCCGATCTTTACTTAGATAGCAGAGTGAATTTGCAGAGTTAGTTGTTAGAAGAAAGACATTTAACTGAGCACATCTGCTACAGAATCCTCTAGCTCAGGGGTTCTCAAACTGGAGGTCAGGACTCCTCAGGGGGTCGCGAGGTTATTACATGGGGGGGGGTCGTGAGCTGTCAGCCTCCACCCCAAACCCCGCTTTGCATCCAGCATTTATAAGGATGTTAAATATATTAAAAAGTGTTTCTAATTTATAAGGGGGGGGAGGTCACACTCAGAGGCTTGCTATGTGAAAGGGGTCACCGGTGCAAAAGTTTGAGAACCACTGCTCTAGCCAGCCACTGACCAGCCATCACTCCCACCGATTCTAGCTGCACTTTCCTTCCCACAGAGAATAGAGTCAAATATCTGCAGTATACCCAGGCATTTCTTATTTCCATCCATCACTGGGTTGAGAAGGAAGGTAGTTTTAGCATAACCATGTTTGTTGCTAGAGCTCCTACACTATTCCATGTTTAAGAATTCAAAGGAGTTTCAGCAGAATAATTATCGGGGCCTTAGATAACTGAGATTTCCATAGAACGCTGAGTGTTTGACCTGTGAGTATGTGCTATGAATTCTGCTTCTGCACCAGTCCAATACATTTGGGCTCCCCTCTACTTTAGACAGGTACGGTTGCCATCCAAGTTGACAAGGGACAAATGGGCCAGTGCTCAGAGACCAAAGACTACACAGCAAGACTTTGCTCTAAGAAAGTCTAGGAACATGGCACCATTTCATCAGTAGTATCAACACAGATATGACATATACATCAGCCCACCCCATAACTCACCTTCACCACAGCAGCCAGCTCCTTCCATTGCTCTGGTCGGGGGTCCACACCAGTGGGGTTGTGAGCGCAGGCGTGGAAGAGAATGACACTCTGCTCAGGAATTTTCTAAAGAAGATATTACAGAGAGTGACATGAGACAAGCGATGTTTAAAGCGATGTTTCTTCTTCAGTTGCTTATAACTAAGCCACAGGGCAAGCAGTGAGTTAGAAGGCACAGCAATATCAGAAATGAGGAGTAAGAGGCGAGCAGCAGTAAATCAGTTTGCGCTCAAAAGTGTGATGAGTTTTGTAGAGAAGTGGTTCTCAATCAGGGGCATGCATACCCCTGGGAGTACGCAGAGTCTTCCAGGGGGTACATCAGCTCATCTAGATATTTACCTTGTGTTACAGCAGGCTACAGAAAAAGCACTAATTAAGTCAGTACAAACTAAAATTTCATACAATGACTTGTTTTTTCTGCTCTGTATACTATACACTGAACTGCAAGTACAATATTTATATACCAATTGATTTATTTTATAAATATACGGCAAGAATGAGAAAGTCAGCAATTTTTCACAGTAATAGTGTACTGTGAGACTTCTGTATTTTGATGTCTGATTGTGTAAGCAAGTAGTTTTTAACTGAAGTGAAACTTGGGGTACACAAGACAAAGCAGACTCCTGGAAGGGGTCCAGTAGCCTGGAAAGGTTAAGAACTGCTGCTTTAAAGGTTCCAATGACTACTAGAAATTGCAACTACAAGATGAGGGAGCTGCTCAGTGGTCTGAGATTCAGTCTCAGCCTAGAAGCTAAGTAAGTAGGGTCATGAGACTACAAACACTACCTTCCCCCTCTGCTCCCATCCCAACAGTCAACTCACCGAAATGTCATCCAAGGCTCCAGCGAAGTCAAAACCGCAGGTCTTGGGATCATAGTAGCGATAGGCCTGCAGCTGCATGCCAGCATCCCTGAAAATGGGGGTGTGGTTGCCCCAGGATGGTTTGGGCAGGTACACGTCACGGCTGTACTTGAAGAATCGTTGCTATGGCAGAGAACGAGAGCAAGTTCAACTGGTGTAGTCCATTGCTGCCAATAATAGACTCATAGACTTTAAGGTCAGAAGGGACCAGTATGATCATCTAGTCTGACCTCCCGCATGATGCAGGCCACAAAAGCTGGCCCACCCCCTTTCCCTTGACTCAGCTGTTGAAGTCCCCAAATCCTGTGATTTAAAGACTTCAAGTCGCAGAGAATCCTCCAGCTAGCGATAAGAAAGTTGGTCTCCCAGCAATAAGGAGTTTAATCAATGCATGAGCTTCAGCCACAGATGTCCCCTCTCCTCCCATCACCATTTCCCAGGGACTCACCAAGAAACTGGCTCCAACTCTTAGAGACCCAGTCCCAGAAATCGTCTGCACGGTGACATACTACAAGGAAAAGGGATACAAATGCGTAAGATGCCAAACTACCACACAAAATATGGACCATGTTAAAGTGCACTAACATCTTTTTTTAGTGTGCATGAACCACACAGAAGAAGCACTGATGTTACAGATCTATTCTTAACTCATCAATACCTAAATCCCGTACAAGACAGCAAGCTAATTCCCCAGGCCTGAGAAGTTAAAACAACGTCTCATGGATCTTCTACTCAATTTCAAATGGTAACTTGCAACACAACCTGAGATTAAAAGTTAGCTAAACAGCAAGACATGGCTCTACATTAATTGAAATACTGTCTCATCATAGGACTGGGAGCCAGGAATTGCTGAACTCCGCCTCCAGTTTAACACTGGCTTCTTTGTGCCCTTGGACAAGGTCGCCTCCCCTCTTAAGTGAGTTTTTCAGAAGTGCTCAGAGTTGCCGTCAATGGCAGCAGAGTTAGGCCAATGCCACGCTAGACCGGAACACTGGGTTCTATTCCCAGCTGGATGACCGTGGGCAAGTCAGGTAGGCTTTGTTGTCTCAGTTCCCTCCTCTAAAACGAGGAGAATGATATTGACCTCCTTTGTAAAGCACTTTGAGACGTACTGAGGCAAAGCACTACAAGAGCCAGAGGTATTATCTGTTGCTCTTTAAATGCTCTGCAAGAGAAATGTCTGTACGTGGTTATGAATTCTTTGCTGACAAGTACAACGCTTACAGGGTAGAACAGCCCTACTTGTACAGTATTTTAGTCCAGACTTCCACCTAGCTCTTTACCCGGCCACTCTTGATAACCTCATTGGTGTCACCCAGTGCCAGCTCAGCTGATGCCTTATTGAACTCCGCCAGCCCTGCAATGGGTAAGTACTCCTTGTCCATCTTCTTAGCAGCTATCTGGGCCTCCGCCTAAGAAAGGAACACACATGTTCAGCTTCTGCACACGTTCTACAGGCTCCCCAAGGCTCTACCAGAGGTAATATATATATTAACGTTTTCTTTGCTTAGCACTCAGTACAATGACAAGGTACCATCCAAGAATATAAACTGGCCATCAACAAGGTTTCTAACCATCAGAGCAGTGAAGTTCTGGAACAGCCTTCCAAGAGGAGCAGTGGGGCCAAAAACTTAACTGTCTTCTAGACTGAGCTTCATGGAGGGGATGGTATGATGAGACTGCCTACAATGGCAGGTAGCCAATCTGTGACTGCTAGCAGCCAATATCTCCAATGGCTGGTGATGGGACACTAGATGGGGAGAGCTCAGCGTTAGTACAGAGAATTCTTTCCCAGGTGTCTGCCTAGTGGGTCTTGCCCACATGCTCAGGGTCTAACTGATGGCCTGTATTTGGAGTGAGGAAGGAATTTTCCCTTGGGTCAGATTGGCAGAGACGCTGGGGGTTTTCACCTTCCTCTGCAATGTGGGGCACGAGTCACTTGCAGGTTTGAACTACTGTAAACGGTGGACTTTCTGGAACTTGAAGCCTTTAAACCATGATTTGAGGACTTCAGTAACTCAGCCAGAGATTAGGGGGCTATTTCAGGAGTGGGTGGGTGAGGTTTTGTGGCCGCCAACGTGCAGGAGGTCAGACTAGATGATCATGATGGTGCCTTCTGAGCTTAAAGTCTATGAACTCCAGCTCAGCAAAGTTATTTCCCAGAGATGAGAAATCAGCTCCATTCAAAGCAAAGCCATCTATGGCAACCTGTCAGCAGAAATATTTATTGCTATTGCTTTAAAAGCAAAGTTTACAGATAGGCTGACACAAAGCATTGAGTTTCTAAACCCAGCATTGCTGCTTGTGAGCAACTGGTGGCCCAGTGAGTACTACTGAGCCAGGTAGCCAGAAACGAGAGGAAACGGTCCCTTCCAGCCTCATTAGCAGTAAGAGCTGCACCAGAGACAATCCTCCGCTTAATCTGAAAACATTCTGCAGAAAGGGAGAGCTACCATTTATAGAAGAGAAATCTCTGGGCCTGGAAATATGCCCCAAGCTAGCTCAGTGCTGAGGGACACACGATTTGTGCTGGCTCAGATATAGACCTTAGCTGCACTGGCAAAGTTACCGAAAGGTTCAAGATACTTTTCAAACCAGCTGGAGCTGCAGCATAGACAAGGCTCTGACAAATGATGTTTTCAACCTGTTTTTAGGTAGTTTAACTAAACAAGTTATAAAAATGGTTCTGGCTGCCACAGCCTTGTCTGCACTGAGGCTCCAACTGGTTTTAAAATTGGTTTAGTTCAGCTGGTTTAGATAGGAGAGTGGTTCCCCAGCACAGGCAAGGCCCCAGGAGTTCAGTTACAAATCTGAATGTTCACATGTTACACCGGTCAGATAGTAGCAGCAAGAACAATGGATTTCAACCACATTCTCCTTAGCACATTCGTTCCACCTACTGCAGCCAACAAAGACACCTGTATTGTGTCCAGAGCCTATTAACAATAGGAATGGGGAGGAGCATTTGGGAGGGGAACATACCAGTAGACCCAGAACAGAGGGTCAGTCATTGCCAAGGCTCAGATGCCTGGAGAAGATTTCCCTGTGAGGCTGATCTCAATAAGTTTGACAATACAGATCTGTGTCCAATTTCCCAGTTAGAATTTCAGACTGGATTAGAGAGAAGGCAGCAAGACTCAGTGGAATTTCTGAGACTGCCCCTCCTTAGATTAGCGTCAGCTCTTTCTCACTGACATGGCATGGTTTAGGGAAGTGCTCTTTGCATTAGTCTTGTTTACTAAAAAAAACACACCTTAAAAGTTTAAGTATCAGAGGGGTAGCCGTGTTAGTCTGAATCTGTAAAAAGCAACAGAGGGTCCTGTGGCACCTTTCAGACTAACAGAAGTATTGGGAGCATAAGCTTTCGTGGGTAAGAACCTCACTTCTTGCACCACAGGACCCTCTGTTGCTTTTTAAAAGTTTAAGAGATCCACGCAGCATGATCCCCAAGGGGCAGCACAGAGCCCAATCTGACATCATGGAAGTCAGAGGCAAGATTTGTTATTTACTTCAATGGGAGCAGGATTTGGTCCTAGAGAAGTACTTTAGTTCTTCCTTCAGATGTCAGTTAACTTGATCCAATGGAGTTGTCTTCCAGACCACCCTAGTGCTGGCAATAGGAACTCACACTAACCCCATCCGCCACAGGTTTGATTAGAAGCAAAGTCTTTCCTATGGATCAATCACCGAGACCCTCTTCCCCCCATAGATTCCTAGCTACAGTACTTCATATCACACGATGCTTGGATTTTACCCCCTATAGCAGCCAGTGCTAGGCTTACTTTGCGGACGCTGTTCAGGACAAATGGCTTCCCGTTATCGTCCCGGTATGCCCCAACACCCAGGTTCATCTTCTTAGCGTTGGTGTCTCGTTTAAAGGCTTCAGTCACCCCCAAAATAGGATCAGGGGGTCCCATCTCCACATGAGACCACCAGGAGCTGCACAAGGAACATAAGTGGGAGGATTAGGTCAATGAACAGAAGGAAACGGTCATGGCCTAATGCTGTTCGTTATATCCTGGCCGATGGGCCCAACTGTAGCAGGATCTCTTTGGCACTGGTATCCACGGCTCAAGCTGAAGTGTGGTATCTACAGACCCAACAAGCCATAGCTTCCCTCTCTCTCCACAGACTAACCCTATTCCCACTGCAGCATGTTTATATGGGAGACTAAGCATGCTAGCTTCTCAGTTAAGCCAATATCAAATAACTGGGAGAGCCCTCATTACCCAAACCTGCTGTGTGCCTGATCTTAAGATTTTCTCCTCACTCAGTGGCAGAAGGGTATCATGACAGCACGGTGCCAGTCCCACTCGCATACTTGGAAGAAATCAAGGTGGGATTTTCAAAGGGGACTGCAGCGGCAGTCAAAAAGAGCAAATAGAATGTTGGGAATCATTAAGAAAGGGATAGATAATAGGACAGAAAATAATACATTGCTTCTATATATCTATCTCCATGGTACACCCACATCTTGAATACAAAGAGTGCAGAACTAGTGCCTCAGAAAGCCCCAGGGCTATTTTTTCTAGTGACCTGCTTGTATCTGTCCTACTGTCACTCCAAGGAAGAGGAAAAGCCCTCTTAATGTCAAGGACACACCAGACAGACTATAAAAAGAAACCTTGTTATTTCTGTTGGGCCACAGCTAATGCACAGCTGCACTCAACGTCTGCAGGCGGTAGAGGTGACAGAGAATGAGGCCTGGAATTTTTAATGCTGCACCCTCAATTTGATGAGCAGGTACAGTTTTAATGAGGGTCTCCATCATGAACAGCAGGACTATTAAGGAGAATACCTCATGCAGCTCTGAGCCATAGACTGACAATCTTTATACTGCGGGCTTATTACAAATATGTATCTACCCTAGGATCAGGTGGTTTAGGAAGTTTCTGGCAGAATGTGACAAGTGACAGGAGACCACCACTGAGAGGCAGTGAGGTCATGGGATAGGGTGCTGCACGGGGACTCAAGAGGTCTGGGTTCTTTTCTTGCTCTGCCACTGACCTATGATTCATTGGGCCAGTCACGTCTCCTCTGTGACTCCATTTCCTATCCCACCATTTGTCTTGTCTATTTAGATTGCAAGGTCTTTGAGACAGGGACTTTTACTGTGTGTGTATATAGCACCTAACACAATGGAACCCAATCTCAGTTGGGCCCTCTGGCCACTACTATAATATAAATAGTTGCCTAGACGGTCTATTTTTATGTGGCACTCATCACCATCGTAATTCCCTAATAAAGTCCATTTCTCTATTGCTACTGGGAGGAGCATCTTGAAAGGATGTAAAGATGTGTGTCAGCACAAGCCTTAGGGTCCTTAATTGGTTTTAAAATTGACGATATTTTTGTTTTGGAATTTATGGACAGTTGAGCATAGAAGCTGTTTATATTTTAAGTGCAGTATCAGCTGAGGGAGGGGGTAATCAGTCCCATGTTTTGGATATTCATCCTCCGCTTATCTGCTTTAAAGGTGCGTATGAGCAGCCAGAGCTTTTAAAGCTACTTTAAAAGTAAGTACAATATTGTTTTGTGTTCCTTCAGAAGTCACTGTCTCTGCAAATAACTGGTAACTGCCCTGAACATGGTTTGTGGTGTTTCCACGTTACAAGAGAGCCATAAAAAAAAAAAGACTCTGTATAGTAGTGAACCTCCTGCAATGCACACCCCCCACCTACTAATTTTTTAGGTACTTAAATTGAGCTGCAAAAGTGAAGGGTACTTTTGCAGGACCCTTGTAATTACATTTGAGATGGTGAAAGTCCTTTGTATTTTTACAGCGTCTTTCATTCAAGCAGCTTAAAGTGCTTTATGGATTAAGGTCCCATACTTGGAAACACTTAAGCAATCAATTAACTAAATGCATCCGAAGAAGTGAGGTTTTTACCCACGAAAGCTTATGCCCAAATAAATCTGTTAGTCTTTAAGGTGCCACCGGACTCCTTGTTGTTTTTGTAAATGGGACTACTCATGTAGCTAAGAACTGCTTAGTGCCTGATCCTGCAGACTAACCCTCAACACTCCTGTGAGTTAGTTACTTTCATTCCAAGCCTGTTTTCACCGGCTCCAGATTAGCTTTAGGGCTGATGATTTTCATGTTCATTCTCAGCCAAGAAATGAGTTTTGGGGTGAAGGCTGAAGAAAGTTTCTTCTGCTGTTTATCGAATTTGGAAGGAGGGATAGTGTTCAGCTATTTAAAAGAGAAATGAGTTATTTAAATTAAAAAAAAAATCCCCAAAACCAAGCCAAAACAAACCCAGCTAACTGGCAGTTTCCTTTCACAGTTCAGATTTTGCTTTTATCAAGGAGAACTGTCTGCTTTGCTTTCTAGAAGTGGCTGAAAACAGAAGTAAAATACATAATTTTCCTTGTCAGTTTCAGTGCACATCATGTGCTGTTATCTAACCAACTCGGGATAGCCACACATTTTAAAAACAAACCCACCTACAGAGAGTTTTTGAACTCATCATCCCCAAGAGGGGTCCAAGGCTCAAGACATCAGCAAGCTCCTCTACTTTTGTGGTAACTCACATCTAATATTTTAATATGTCATGCACTGCACTGTGTCAACTTTCAGAAAATTAAGAAGAGACAATGTTAGACATGCATTAAGGTAGAAATTTTAAATTGCTCAACACCTCAACCTCCATTCCAGCACTGGCTGCATTTCTGCGTTGCATAAGGGAAAAGGAAGATTTCCTGGACACACGTCGGAAGATGCCTCTTCGGCCACAATGTTCTGACTAGTCAGA